GTTATAGAGATCAGGAGACAAGCGGTCGATACAGGCTTTTGAAAGATGCGCGTGGTGCTAAGTGTTTTAGCAAGCCTCGGTGTTGTTCCCTTCACATTGTCTTATACCGAGGCCTGTTTCCAAAGCTTTTTGGTCTAAACCTCGAGCTAACTCCTTGGTCATTCAACACCGAGGCATGCATGTTGAAAACGACTAAGTGTTGAAGCTGAGCATCTATGCGGCTTGGTTTGAAATTTATATAAGTGTGAAACTGAATCTCGGCTTCAACCCCTCGACATTGCACCTTGGACTCTTAATTCATGACCCCCTCGACCCAAGCCCCTCGGTGTGCCAACACCGAGGTGATTTCTTGTTCTTGCCAAAGCAAAGTACTCAAAACCTCGAGCAAACTTCACGGATTTTCTATACCGAGGTGCAAGGTTGCCGAATGAAATGTGACAAACCCTGACCTAACTCCACGGTGTGTCTATACCGAGGCCCCTTGTCACGAGCCCAGATTAAGAACAAAGATGCTATATGGTCACACGTGAAGATGGATTAATGATAACTAAGAGTTTTCACTCTTTAAAGAGGTTATCAATACCCCTGTCCTTGTAGTACAAGGGGTTATCAAACCAAACTTGTAGTGGAGACACTAATCTATATTACTTGAGATCTTAAGTCAAGAGAGAATGATAAAGGTTTTAGCTAAACTAATTAACAAGTGAATGAGCATAAAAATGAAGCAAGAGATGAGATTTAAACTAAGTAAGATGCAAATGACAAGCAAATGGTTCAGATGATGATAATATATGATAAAGGCAGAAGATTTAGGCAGGATACTTGACTCGGGTGCTTCCAAGTTAAACTAATGGGTTAATGAATCATTTTATCAAGCAATTTCATTTAACTTCGAACTCAAGGCATGTTAATCTTCTCATGAAAGTATTAAACATCTAAACTGATCCTCTTTCATACCAAAATCCCTTTTGAGAAGCATGAATCAGTCAGCAATAAGATTCAGTTCAAAAATGTCATTTAAGAGAACAAACTATCACTCTCGCGATGAAAGACTCTTAAACCCTTAACCGAGTGGTTCAGACATTTCTACAAACACTTTTGATGCGAGATATGTTTCAGATCTGAACCTCAAGTGATGTGCTTGGATCCAGCTTAGAGATCTCGTCGGTAAAGAATGAAACATGCAAGACTAGACACCTAAACCCACTAATCTATCTTGAAAGCACCCTAATCTACCTATCTAAAGCCGCTTAAACGACTACTCACTGATCATAACGAGCTCACTCAGTCCTTTGCAAGACGTGTAGCTAGTCATGATAAGGAGTTTGATGCTGGATGATAAAAGAAATAAAGAAAGAACAAGATTCTGATGCAAAAACGAGATATCGGATTAGATTAACCAAGTTTCACAAAAGAGGCAAGTTCTTAAAGCTAAAAGATGATAAGAGATAAGATGATTAGGTTTTTGGTCCTAAAATGTATTTATAGCAAAGGGAAAGTGTCGCGGGTCAGCTCGGAACAAACCGGTTACTGAACCGCCTTCTCGGGTCGATGGGTGAGTGCCACAGTGTCTCGGAGAGTGAAGCCGAGGCCTTGATGTCGAGGAGTGCACGTGAGCCAAGATCCAAGTGAAGATCTCGTGAAGAACACGTCAAGAACATGCATGAACCCTAGTCTTTGATCCTTCTTCATGTGTGTGTTCTTGAGCCGTCTTGTTCTTGATTCTGGGGTTGTGGCAAGGGACCTCGCCATAGAATGTCGCGGGGCTTGGTAGTCGAGGGGTTCGGGAGAACAGAGTCCGGCATGCACGCCGAGGCCATTACACCGAGGTGCACGTTCAACACTTAGTCACTTCTAACTTCATTTCTTACGTGTGCATGCCTTGATCCCAACGTACCGAGGCGTCAGTGCGAGGTCTAGTCCCAAATACTCCCAAGATATGAGCCTTGACTTGGGCAATGTCGAGGTAATGATGCCGAGGCCTGAGAAAACACTTAGCGCGTATCGCAACTCATTCAGGCTCGTATCGACCAACTTGCCTTCCGGAAGCAGTAACTTTCAACACACGACTTCAATTGCTTTCAACACACGACTTCAATTGCTTCAAGACTCAATAATCTCGAACTTTGGTGAAGAAACCGTCGGAGCTTGGGAAGTGGAAGGCTTCCTGGATTTCACATCTTTGCACCGCATGGGAATCACCGGAAAACAAGCTTTTAGACCAATGTGAACTCCGGAGACCTTATCTTTCGAACCCTCGGTCCGAATTGAGCGATTCCAAGCGTTCTGAGAAGGCGTTGCACGGTTCTCAAACTTTGATGAAGCCCGGGCAGGCTAATTCGGACCGGAAGGGCTCCGTCCCTCGTGATCTTTGAAGTTTGCTGTTCGGTTCTCGGGTACGCGCAATACTGGTGCATCCTCCGGAGGCCTTATCTTTCTCCTCCCTGGTCCGAATTGTATGATTCCAACTGTTCTGGGATCTTTGCTTGATTATCTCCAACTTTGTTGAAGACCCCGACAGCTGATTCGGAGTGGAAGGTTCCCCGGATTGCTGATCTTTGAAACGCGCAGGCAAGGACAGGTTTTAGCCGAGAAAAGCTTCCCGCGGTAAGGAAAATAACCGAGGGCTATGTACCGCGGTAAGCTTTTTAGCCGTAAAATTCCTCTCGCCTCGGCTAAAAACTTAATCCGAGGTAATTTGCACCCGATACTCGACCTTGGCCGATTTTGGTCGATCGGTAAGGGTTTTGGTCGATAATGAGCGTTCGGTAAGCTTTTTGACCGAGGTTTCTGTCCAGCCGGTACGAGTTTTGGCCGAGAAATTCCTCCAAGCGGTTTTCACCATTTTTGACCCTTTTCTTCACTGTTTTCTTTTCTGCTCCTCTTCTTAATCTCCAAATGGCTCCCTAAGCACCTGATAAAGACTTCAAAACATGCAAAACTCTTTGGGACCTAATGCAAGCCCTAAATCCTATTTTGATGCCTAAAGACTCAATTTACATGGGAAAACACATGATGAGGACTCTAAAATGCAATCTAAATGATGTAAAATATAGACATATCAATTAAAGACTAGGGTTCATGCATGTTTTTGGTGTGTTCTTCATTTCATCTCAAGTATGCATGAGGCCCTCGGCTTCTCTACCATGGCTTTGGAATCTCACACACCGAGGTGCTCACCCATCTGTCCAAGAAGACCGGTTCAGTAACTATAGGTGACCTGGATCACTTAGCTGCACTATAAATAGTTTTAGGGACTAAAACCCTAGTTATCCTTTATCTTATCCATTATCTTTTAGAGAACTTTCTTCTTTAGTGAAAAACTTGCTGCTTATATAAGAGATATCTTGTTTTGCATATGAAAGTCTTATTCTCATCATTTCTTTTCATCAAATCAAGCTTCTAATCATGTTTAGCTTCACTATTTGCAATAGATCAAGTGTGCTTCCCATGATTAGTGAGTAGTTCCTTTATAATGTCTTAGATAGGTAGATTAGGGTGCTGAAATGCTATATTAGCGAGTTTAGGGGCTAGATCTTGCATCATCCATCTCTACAAACTGTTCTCTATGCTAGATCCTTGCACATCACTTGTGGTCTAGATTAAAGGCACTTTCATGCACCAAATGTGTTTGTTGAAATGCCTGAACCAAGTTTGTTAGAGGTTTAAGTGTTTTTCATCATGATAATGATAGGTTGATCACCTAAATGACTTATTAAACTGATTCTTAATGTTTGCTGACTCATACTTCTCAAATGGAAATTTGGTTTGAAAGAGAATTAGCATAGAAGTTTAATGCCTTCATGAGAGGATTATCTTGCTTAATGAGTTTATGTTAAATGGATTTGTTTGATTATTTGTTCATTAACTATCTAGTCTAGTGTTGAAGCACCCTAGTTCATTATCCTGTCTAAGGCCTTTGCATCATCATATCATCTTCACAACCGCTTATCTTGCATTGTTTGTTTAGTTGCATTTTCTACTTGTTTAATTCTGTTTTAGTTTCATTACTTGTCTTGCTACTAGTTTAGAACCAAAAACTCACCTGTTCTGCTTGAATTAAGATACTTGGCATATAAACTAGTGTCTAGAACCCAGAAGATGGATTGATACCTTTGTACTATATTGACAAGGGACTGGTAACCCTTCTTAAGGCCTAAAAACCTAAGTTATCAATTAGCGCCGTTGCCAACTTGTGGGGATTTAGCATTGGTTTATCTTAGTTCTTGAGATCAAGTTTTTATTTTTTGTTTTACTGATCAGTCTTTGAGCTTTGTCTTTGAGTGATCAGGTGTTTGAGAACACGCTCAAGAAGTTCAGAGCCTCCTCTTCTTTCCAACAACAACATAAACCTGATTGAAAAGAGAGCTAGAGAGAGGGCTGCACATTTGGAACGGTTGGGTATGGATGAACAAGCAAGGATTGAGCAACAGGCTCAAGAAGCCGAGCACCAGGCTCACTTAAACCACGCACAGGCTGAGAGGAACGAGCAGCAAGCCTCTGTCAATCAGAACATGGCGCAAAGGAATGAGTGCTAACCACAGCAGAATCAACAGCAAGCTAACCGCAATGAGCAACAGGCTCAGAATTTTCCTCAGCTTCAGCCACAAGCTCCAAGGAGACCAGAAGCTCCACCAGTCTTTGTTGGTGAGAACGATATAGCAAATGCAAACCAGTACTGAGCAGGAATTCAAGCTCCACCGGTTCAGAATAACAACTTCGAAGTGAAAGCTTCTTTTCTCAACATGGTGCAGAACTCTAAGTTCCACAGTTTGCCAATGGAGGATCCCTTGGAGCACTTAGATCAAATCGACAGAGTTTGCGATCTAACCAAAATAAATGGTGTCTCTGGGGACAGTTTCAAGGTTAGATTATTCCCATTCAGCCTAGGATATAAGGCACATCAGTGGGAAAAGAATCTGCCTAGAGGGCCAATACAAACTTGGGAGCAATGCAAGTTGGCATTCTTATGAAAGTTCTTCTCAACATCAAGAACTGCAAAGCTCAGAAATCAAATCTCAAGTTTCACTCATCACACAAACGAAAGCTTCGGAGAAGCTTGGGATTGGTTTCGAAGCTACACCAATCAGTGTCCACATCATGGCTTCTCAGAAGCATCTCTTCTCAGTACATTGTATAGAGGAGCACTCCTCAAGATAAGAAACCAGCTAGACACCGCATCAAATATAAATTGATTGGGGAAGAAGATCAATGCCGCTTTGGAGTTAGTTGAGAATCTAGCCATGAGTAATGACACTTATGGAGAAGACTTTGACAGGGCCAATAGAAGTGAGGGATCTAGCAAATAGCTGAGGATGGAGAATGACATTAGAGAACTTCAAAGCAAGCTTGACAAAGTGCTAGTGGGAACACAAAAGCCATTATACTTTGTAGGCGAGTTTGATGATCAGGGTCAAAGCTTTGAGAATGTAAATGCAGATGGCCTCACTCAAGAAGAGACAAACTACATTGGGAACCAGAATCGATATCAGAGGTTCAAAAACTTCAACTCAAACCAAAACCTCTCATATAGGAACCCCAGTGTCGCTAATTCACAAGATCAAGTGTATCCTTCTCAGCAGAACCAGCAAAGCTTTGCCCCTAAGCCTCAGTTTAAAAGTTCTTTTCAACCAAAACAACAGTCTGTTCAGCAGCAACAGAGCTATGGAAAGCAACAGCAACCGGTTCAGAGTGGTAACTTCATTTCTCAACCTCAGCAAAAGAATTACCCGCCAGGTTTCAGTCAGCCGCCGATGGTTCAGCATCAGTTGGGTCAGCAGCCGCAAGTTCAAGGTCAGCAGATGGGTCCTGAGTTATGTGGGGTGTTGCAACAGATTCTACAGGGTCAGCAGCGAGTTGAGAGTGGTTTTTCAGACTTGGGTTCAAAATATGCTGCCATGCAACAAGAAATCAAGGAACTAAGGCAGAATCAAGCCTCCACCTCAAGAAACCAAGGCACTTTACCTGGTAAACCTGAGCCTAATCCCAAAGAATATTGCAATGCTATAAATCTTAGAAGTGGAAAGGAGTTACCAGGGTTACCAGAAAGAGAGCCTAGACAAGTGCTCATTGCGGACAATGAACAAGTTGGTGGGGAGGCGGCCCAAGAGAGTGAAAAAGAAGATTAAGCTGCCAAGTGTAATGAGAAAAAAGAGGTGGAACCTATGGTGCCTGAGAAACCTTATATTCCACCACCACCATATCAGCCTATGGTGCCTGAGAGATATAAGAAGCAGATTCTGGATAAAGCAAGAAAAGTCTTTGAGAAGAATCTAGAGAACACTAAGATGACTATGCCCATCATAGAAGCATTTCTTATGGTTTCACAGCTTGGGAAGTTCTTAAAAGATGCTATTTTGAAAAGACCAAGGAGCTACAAGGAATGGTTATTCTGAGTCATTAGTATAGGGCAACTATTCAAAGGAAGACCATCCCTAGAAAGCTATCAGATCCAGGGAGATTTACACTACCATGCACTATAGGTCCTTTGAAGTTTGCTAGCTGTTATTGTGATTTAGGAGCTTCAGTAAGCTTGATGCCCTATTCTATTGCAAAAAGGTTGGGGTACAACAGCTACAAGCCAGCAAAGATCTCTCTAATACTCGCTGATAGGTTAGTAAGGTTACCAATTGGTTTACTTGTAGATTTGCCTCTTAAAATTGGTGAGATTGAGATACCAAACTTTATAGTCTTAGATATGGATGAGGAGCCGGTTGATCCTGTCATTTTGGGAAGGCCTTTCTTAGCTACAGTAAGAGAGAGTGAAGCCTACAAGCCGTATTTGGATCAGACCAAGGAACTTGATTCAGAAACAAGGTTTTTGGAGCTAGAAGCAAGCGGCCTTGAGATTATAGACATCAGGGGTTCAAATACAAGACAAGGACCAGCCCAGGGATGCATGGCCGTGGGTTCATTAGCCAAGGAAAGTGCTGAACCGCTTGAGTAATTCAACACCAAAGGAGCTGTGGATGAGCAAAGCAGCTTTGATGCGGATTGGGACGAGTCAAAGGCGCCCCTTGTTGAGCTCAAACCTCTACCAACAGGGCTGAGGTATTTATTTCTAGGCGTCTTTATATCCTGTTATCATTAATGATAAGTTGTTAGCTGATCAAGAAAGTGCATTGTTAAATGAGTTGAGGAAGCATAGGAGAGCAATTGGTTACTCATTGGATGACATAAAGGGTATTTCACCCAACCTATGCACTCATAGGATTCACCTTGAAGAGGAATCTATGTCATCCATTGAGCACCAAAGGAGGCTCAATCCCAACTTGAAAGAAGTAGTGAAAAAAGAGATTCTTAAATTCCTAGAGGCAGGGATCATCTATCCTATCTTAGACTCTAGATGGGTTTCACCAGTTCATGTGGTGCCCAAAAAGGGAGGAATGATAGTGATCAAAAATGAAAGGGATGAGTTGATAGCAACTAGAACCATCACAGGGCATAGGATGTGTATAGACTATCGAAAGTTGAATGCAGCCTCTAGGAAAGATCATTTTCCTCTCCCTTTTATTGACCAAATGTTAGAAAGGCTTGCAAATCATCCCTTCTTTTGCTTTCTAAATGGTTACTCTGGGTTCTTCCAAATCCCAGTAGACCCAAAAGACCAAAAGAAGACCACATTTACCTGTCCCTATGGGACCTTTGCTTATAGGCGCATGCCATTTGGGCTGTGCAATGCACCTGCTACTTTCCAACGCTGTATGATGTCTATCTTTTTGGATCTGATTGAAGAGAAAGTATAGGTATTCATGGACGACTATTCAGTCTATGGATCCTCATTCTCTGTTTGTTTTTCAAATATTTCTCAAGTCCTAAGGAGGTCTGAGGAGCACAGCTTGATTCTCAGTTGGGAAAAATGCCATTTTATGGTGCAAGAGGGCATTGTGCTTGGGCATAAGGTTTCTGAGGCAGGGATTGAGGTTGATAAAGCCAAAGTGGAGGTGATGGTTAACTTGGAAGCTCCAAGCTCAGTCAAGGGGATCAGAAGTTTCTTAGGGCACGCCAGCTTCTATAGAAGGTTAATCAAATAATTTTGTAAGATAGCTAGGCCTCTAACAAGATTGCTTTGCAAGGATGTTGAGTTTGTATTTGATGCGGAGTGCATGGAGGCCTTTCTAAAGATCAAACAAGCTCTTGTTAGTGCACCAATAGTCCAAGCTCCAGATTGGACTCTGCCCTTTGAAGTGATGACCGATGGTTCAGATTATGCCGTGGGAGCTGTTTTGGGTCAGAAGAAAGATAAGAAGCTGCACGTGATATACTATGCAAGCGGAACCTTGTAATCGGCTCAGGAGAAATATGCTACAACTGAGAAAGAGATGCTTGCTATAGTATTCGCTTTTGACAAGTTCACGAGCTATCTTGTTGGTTCAAAAGTTGTGGTGTATACAGATCATGCCGCTCTCAGATATCTGATGACAAAGAAGAATGCAAAACCAAGACTCTTGAGATGGGTTCTTCTTTTGCAAGAGTTCGACATGGAGGTTCAAGACAAGAAAGGCATTGAGAATGGAGCAGCTGATCATCTCTCAAGGTTAAGAGTGGATTCAGATATTACTCTAGATGATTCATTACCTGAGGAGAATCTAATGGTGATCATGTCTTACTTGGAGGTTGAAACAAGCCAATACCATCAGAGAAAGGGACTATCTCTCTTGTGGTATGGAGCCACCAGAAATGGATGCTTATCAAAGGAAGAAATTATTCAAAGATGTGGGGAGATACCATTGGGATGAGCCATATTTGTATGTGCTCAACATAGATAACTTTTATAGGAGATGTCTAGCTGAAGAGGAGGCCAGCCAGTTCTTCAAGAGTGTCACGGTTCAACCTTTGGAGGACACTTGGGAGCTTTTAAAACGGTGCCAAAGGTTCTCCAATCCGGATTTTGGTGGCCTACAATGTTCAAAAATGCCCAAAGTTTGGTCTCTAGTTGTGACTCTTGTCAAAGACATGGGAATTTCTCAAAAAGGAATGAGATGCCTCAGAATCCCATCTTTGAAGTAGAGTTTTTTTATTGTTAGGGCATAAATTTCATGGGGCCATTCATCTCTTCGCATTGGAACCAATACATCTTGGTGGCTGTTGATTATGTTTCTAAGTGGGTAGAGGCCATAGCTAGTCCAACAAATGATTCCAAGGTGGTGTGCAAGCTTTTGAAGAACATCATTTGTCCCACAAATGATTGCAAGGTTTGGTTTTCCAAGGGTTGTTATAAGCGATGGTGGCAGTCACTTTATAAACGAGACCTTGGAAGGGCTGTTGAGGAAACATGGAGTCAAGCACAAGGTAGCAAGCCCTCACTACCCTCAAACTAGCGGCCAAGTAGAGGTTTCAAACAGGCAACTCAAGGCGATCTTAAAAAGGACTGTGAGCTCTTCAAGGAAGGATTGGAGCTAGAAACTCGATGATGCTCTTTGGGCATATAGAAAAGCCTTCAAAACTCTCATAGGTACCTCACCTTTCAATTTATTGTATGGGAAGAGCTGTCACTTGCCTGTTTAGTTGGAATACAAGGTGTTATGGGCTGTTAAGCTGTTGAATTTTGACATCAAGACCGCCCAAGAGAAGAGGATTTTGAAGATCCATGAGTTGGAGGAGATCAGGTTAGATGCCTTTGAGAGTTCCAAGATTTACAAAGAAAAGACCAAGGCTCTCCATGCTCAGAAAAATTCACAAAATGGACTTCAAATCTTGTGATCTTGTGCTGTTGTTAACTCTAGACTTAAGCTATTTCCTGGAAAGCTAAAGTCTAGATGGTCCGGTCCGTTCAAGGTACTTGAGGTGAGACCTTATGGAGCCATTGTTCTTGAAGGAAAAGACGGCCAAGGGTTTGTTGTCAATGGACAAAGAGTAAAGCACTATTTGGTCTCAGAAAAGAAAGAGGGAGCTTCATCAGTTCCTCTTCTTGATCCACAATCTGCCTAAGAAGGTATGAAAAGTCAAACTTAGTGACGTTAAAAAAAGTGCTCTTGGAAAATACCCCAAGCTTATCCTTGTAAATATTTCTCTTTTGATCTTTCTTTTGATCTTTATTTGGAATTTTTTGAAGGTTTTGTTAAGTTATCTCAGGTTCCGAAAGTGTTCCCGTTGTGTAACTTGAAG